CAGCTTTTTTTATACTATAAAAGTGTTACATTTTAGAGAAACTGGAACTTCTATACACCCCTTCTTTTTTTTTTTTAAATTTAAATTCTTTATTTTTGTTGTGCAGGTGGGTACAAGATACCAACAAACGCCACAAAGGCGTATTACAAGATTTATACATGTTAGACAGTGGCATGAAGAGTCGCACATATTTTGTGTTTTTTATCCAATATAACTAAATGATTGTAGTGCCCTAGTTAAGGCAAATGAAACAAGTAGAAGCTATGTATGTGTGACAATACTAGATGAGCTGTATTAGCGTGGTTAGATCTATGTGCTGAGTTACACGCTAGTTGAGACGTTATCGTAGTCGCTTATGTAGATGCTATTGGTTAGCACAGTTAGTTTATCCCATCTATACTTGTATAGGTGTAAATATTGGTTGTGCGGCTACCTGTTGTATGGACCGGAATAAGTATGGATATGGATACTCTACACGTGCATAGGACATTAGCTTATCACAGATGCAGAAAACATTTGCTTGTAACAATTGCATAAAACCTTTGCATATAATATTTGCATATAACATGTGCGAGATACTTAGTAAGAAAACGTAGTAGGGTATTCAGCTTAGGAGCAGGGTCGTGTGTGTGATGACAGCCTGATCTGCTTAGAGGGTGTGTGCACTGTGGTGTATGTTGTGTGCTCCTAGATTACCCCTCGACATGGGGGGGGGGGTTGTCGTTCAGATAGTAGGCAGTCGGGATCTACTCTGGGCCTCTGCCTGTCCATCAGTGGTTGTGGTCTGATGTGGGGGGGAAGTTTTTAGAGTCCCTCATAGTAATGGTGATGCATGGGGGAATGTCCCAAAAGTCTTTTGGTGGTCTTCTGGTCTGGTTCAGGTCGTGACCGCTGTGTATTGTTCCACTTGAGGCCTCCTTGGCACGAACTCCGGTGCTCTGGTTGCATCCCGCCCAAGGGGATATGTGGTTCTCGCTGGTGGTCCCGCTTGTTGGATGGAATTCAGGGGGAGGCCCAGAGTGCCTAAGACCTCCGTGGCTTCATGTATGTTGCTGACAGCGTGTGGCACGTCTCCCCTCATGATATGTAGGACGTGAGCTGGGCCCCAGCGGTACCTGATTTGGTTGGCTCGTAGCACTGCAGTGAACTGTTGTAGAGATCTTCGCCATGCTAATGTTCCACTTGAGAGGTCTGGGAAAAATGACAGGGTCATGTTTTCAAAGGGGTATGCCGATTGCTCCCTGGTAGCAGCTAGGACTGCAGTTTTGTCCCTCAGGTTTAGAAATTGGAGCACTATGTCCCTAGATGCGCTGGGTGGTTCCCTGGTCTGTCTTGGCAGGCGGAATATGCCATCTAGCGTAATCGCCCTGGCTGTTTTCGGGGGCAAGAGTGCGGTGAGGAGCCGCCTGGCAAAGTGTGGGAGCTCTGCGTCAGGGACTGAGTCAGCCACCCCCCTAACCTTTAGGTTTTTGTAGCGTCTTTTATCTTCCTGTAAAGAGAATCGCTGGTCCTGTAGTTGGTTCTGTTTTTGCAGTGCACTTATTGCCACTTGGAGCTCAGTTATTTGAGTGGTATGTGTTGTGGAGATTCCCTCCACTGCCTGGAGTCGGCCTGTCAAATTTTTCAAATCATTTCTTATCATAGCCACATCGGCCGCGATTTTCCTATGGTGCTCAGCCATGAGGTCTCCTATGGCTTCCATAGTTACCGGCTTGGGGTCGTGCACGGGTGGCTGGGTCCGTGTCTGCACCGGTTGTTTTAAGGCTGGGGCTGGGGCTCCCTCCGTGTCGTCCGAGGACCCCTCATAGAAATCCGAGCAGCCGCCGTGCAGGGACGCCATTTTGGAGCCCGCGGCTTCATGAGCCTGCCGCCAGAGGTTCCCGATATCCATGCCGGGTTGGGGCTTGTCCGGCTTTTGTTTTTTCATTTTTCTCCCCATGTGGTCTGGGGGGGTTCTGGGCTCACTTTGCGGTGGATTCCGCCGATGCCCAGGTGTGGAAAGGGTGAGTTTTGCTCTGGCTTAGTCCGGAGCTTCTCCGCCATGCGTCCGTCTGCTTCCTTGGCTTAGCTCCGCCCCTATACACCCCTTCTTAAACCTCCCAACCTTTAAACCCCCACTCCCACACCCTCCCTGCCATTTGTAAAACAGACAACTGGACAAATTGCAATTTTTACTTGTTTTAAACACTTGCTCAACGTGCGCATGCACACTGTATCGTCAGACAGAGCTGCGGTGACAAGTTGGTTTTGCCAATGAATTAGATATCCTAAATCTAAAATAAAAAAAAGAAACACTCCAACAATAATAGTTACATATTTACTTTTGTAACATTGGAGTGTTCCATCAACTGCTGTGATGACCACTCCATATTTACTGTCGCTTCTTTCCATTAGAACTTGTATTAACCCTCATTTACAGTCTTCCATATACACCATCTTTCTGATGGATTATTACAACAGCTTAAAGGAACACTATAGCATTAGGAATGTATTCCTAACACTATAGAGCCCCAGTCAGCTAAACGGTGACTAGGTCCTCGTTCCGCGGCGAATAAATGGTTAATTAACCATTTATTTGCTTACCTTAATCCAGCATCAGGCTCCCTCGGCGCTGGTGACCTCTCCTCCTCCGTTGATGTCAGCTCCCAAGGGGGCGCAAGCATTTCAAACCCTCCCATAGGAAAGCATTTCTCAATGCTTTTCTCAATGCTTTCCTATGGGGATCTTTTTTGATGCTGGAGGCCCGTGAGGATGTCCAGTGTCAAATAAGTGTGATTTTCACAGTAAGAATCACGGAAGTTGAGGCTGGATTAACCCTCTCTGAAACTGCTATGTTTTCAGCTGCAGGGTTAAAACTAGGGAAACTGGCACCCAGACCACTTCATTGAGCTGAAGTGGTCTGGGTCCCTATAGTGGTCCTTTAAGTATTAGAAATATGAAAACGACTTAGGTGGGCTTTGTTAAAATGTACCAAAACTTTGTTATCCAGTTTGTGTTAGAAAACATAATACGGTGCTGGTATGTATGCTTATAATTAATTAGGGATAAAAAAAGATTAGAAAGTATTTAACCTAATTAAAAAAGTATTTAACCTATAAAACTATTTTGCGAAGACAGGGTAGGCTGCAAACTGTTTTTTGATTTACATGGGGAACTGTTATTGTAAAGCAAAATGATGAAGTAGGAAATGAATTCTTTTAATGTTATACACAGTGTGCTATGAATCACTCCGTGCTTTGTTTTTCGGCGTTTTATTTACTTTTATGTTATGATGTCATCTGACAGTTTCCTGATCACAAACTACCCTCTGCTGCCTGTACAGCGCTGTTCTCATTGACATTTATTAGATGGTCAGTGGTCTAGGTTCAAAAGTTATCTTGATGTCTACTGAAGATGTTTAGTATCGTTTCAGAAATATCATAGGGGTGCTGCTTTCTAAAAACAAAGGTCATTATAGCTTGGGTAATAATAGGGATACTAAGAACCAGAGCTGGGGTTTGCATGTTAGCTTAAAGGGTACCTTAACTCAAGATACTGTGTACTGTAACTTCCATCATTGTCAGCCAGGCAGTGATTGATGGGAGTTACCAGCATTTCCATGGTCTATAAAAGTTAGGGGTTAAACACTCTAATGCTACAAGTTTATAGGCCTTATATACCCCTTAAAGTAATAATGCACAAGTTTATATACTTCACCATACTGCCACTGTACTTATATCAATGCAGTTCCATTGTCGTTATAATGCATGGACATTTTAAAACAGTACTAAAGTCACCATCTCAATGAAGTGGCCTGTGTGCTAGATTTGGATTGGATTGGAGCATTGGATTGGACCAGCACAGGCCGAGGTCATGCTTACTCTATGACATTGCAGGAGGAGCAGAGGAGAGCAGTACAGAGGGAGCTTCGACACTGGCAAAATAGTATTTTTTAAATTTTTATTACAAACCAGGGGAACTTGATGTGATTATACAAGATAACAGCTTCTTCAAGGAGTTTGTTTCCCTGTAGATCTCCTTTCTATATGACTATGCAATTTGTATAGATGTAGGGACAGGGAAACTGATGCGTTAAGAATACAGGTTTGTCTATAGTGTTCCTTTAAGCTAACATTTTTAAATCAAATTCTTTTAACTTTCTAAAATGCTTGTAATGTGGTCATTATTTAGTTGTTACTATACATTGGCTGCAGTTAGAGAAACTTGCTGCTCATAGAACAATGATGGCTAACATTTAGACCGCCAGATATTTCATAGTATACACCCTGTTCCAAATTATTATGCAAATTCTATTTAAGTGTCACAAAGATTAAATATTTTGTTTTTCAGCTTAACTCATAGATGGCATTGTGTATCAGGGCTCTTTTGATGAATGAAAACAGTCTCGGACACCTGTGATAATTATATTGCCAGGTGAGCCCAATTTAAGGAAAAACTATTAAAGGAGGGTTTTCCACATTATTAAGCAGAGCACCATTTTCATGCAATATGGGGAAGAAAAAGGATCTCTCTGCTGCCAAAAAGAGTGAAATAGTTCAATGCCTTGGACGAGGCATGAAAACATTAGATATTTCACGAAAACGTAAGCGTGATCATCGCACTATTAAGAGATTTGTGGCTGATTCAGAGCCCAGACGTGTCCGTGCAGATAAAGGCACATTGAGGAAAATTTCTGCCAGATCCATGCATCGGATCAAGAGAGCAGCTGCTAAAATACCATTACATAGCAGCAAACCGATATTTGAAGCTGCTGGTGCCTCTGGAGTCCCACGGACATCAAGGTGTAGAGTCCTCCAGAGTCTTGCAACTGTGCATAAACCTTCTATTTGGCCACCACTAACCAATGCTCACAAGCAGAAACGACTGCATTGGGCAGAAAAATACATGAAGACTAATTTTCAAACAGTCCTGTTCACTGATGAGTGCCGTGCGTGGACGGCCACCCTGTTCCAACAAGGCTGAGACATCAGCAAGGCAGTGGTGGAGTCGTGTTTTGGGCCGGAATCATGGGAAGAGAGCTGGTCGGCCCCTTAAGGTGTAAAGATGACCTCTGCAAAGTATGTGGAGTTTTTTACTGACCACTTTCTTCCCTGGTACAGAAGGAAGAACTATGCTTTCCATAATAAAATCATGCATGACAATGCACCATCTTATGCTGCAAAGAATACCTCTGCATCAGTGGTTGCTATGTGGATAAAAGGAGAGAATGGTGTGGCCTCCATACTCCCCGGGCCTCAATCCTATTGAGAACCTTTGGAGCATCCTCAAGCAAAAGATCTATGAGGGTGGGAGGCAGTTTACATCCAAACAGCAGCTCTGGGAGGCTATTCTGACATCTTGCAAACAAATTCAAGCAGAAACTGTCCAAAAACTCACAAGTTCAATGGATGCAAGACTTGTGAAGCTGGTATCAAATAAGGGGTCCTATGTTAAAATGTAACGTGACCTGTTAAAATGTTTAAAAAGTTAAAATGTTGTTAAAAGTTTGATTGAAATAGCTTTTGATTTCAGTAAATATGCTGCAAACACAACAAATTACAATTTTCAGTTCTTTACAACCTATAAAGTGTTTTGAAACTTGCGTAATAATTTGGAACAGTGCATTTTAAGTTTTTTTATGTTTAAAAAAAATACTGTTATCATTAAGAGGTTTGTTCAATACAATTCGAATTGTACTCTTAATAGTTGATAACATGAGAATTATGCTGATTGTTATTTACATAAATTATATAGGTAAATGAGAAAAATATCATTTGCATAATAATTTGGAACAGGGTGTAATTCCTATGACACCATTCCACCAATAAATATCATAGGGTGCAGGCCATTTGTGCCTTTTGCGAGTGTGCCCATTTTCTATATCCCTTTGACAAGACTGCATTATAGTACATGTGAAGTTTTCAACAATGTTTATTGTTTGTTCAATGGAGAGGAAACAATTGAATCTATGCAGAAGCCAACTGCTTCCTTTTTTCAGAGCGTGTGTCTGAGTGTAATGATTTAGTTGTCTAACAACAGGCAACAATAAATTATTATCTTAGTAAAGACTTTTGACTGGTTTCTGATTGCCTCATTGTCCATGTGTATTATTATTATTATTATTTTATTATTTATATAGCGCCAACAAATTCCATAGCGCTGTACAATGGGTGGACTAACAGACATGTAATTGTAACCAAGCAAATGGACACACAGGAACAGAGAGGTGGAGGGCCCTGCTCAATGAACTTACATGCTAGAGGGAGTGAGGTATAGTGACACAATGGGTATAAGTAGGGGTAATGAAATAGGTTGCTAGAAAAGTATTCACAGAGAAATTAGTAGATTATTTTTGACAGTTGCAGGAGAGGGGTCATGGGGGAGGAGAGGGGAATGAAAACCCGCTAACAGTTTAGATGATATGCTTTCCTGAAGAAGTGTGTTTTCAAAGATTTTTTGAAGGAGTGGAGACTAGGTGAAAGTCTAATGGAGAAGGGAAGGAAGTTCCACAGAAAAGGTGCAGCCCTGGAGAAGTCTTGGAGGCGAGCATCAGATGTGGGAGTACGGATAGAGGATAGACGTAGGTCTTCGGCAGAGCGCAGGGCCTCGACGGGACATACTTGTGTATTAGGGAGGATAGGTAGGTTGGAGCAGCATTATGTAGGGACTTATAAGCAAGCACCAAAATCTTAAATCGAGCCCTATATCTAACTGGAAGCCAATGTTGGGACTGACAGAGGGGGGGAGGCGTGGGTGGTGCGGGCGTTCAGGAAAATGGGCCTCGCTGCTGCATTCATTAAAGATTGCAGTGGTGCAATCTTTTTGGATATCTTTTTCAAATGATCACAATGCTTTTCAAATGATTCATCTACAGTAGCCACCATTAAAGTCTGCGAACATTTCTGTAGATAAACCAATGGAGAAAGACCTATCTAAAAATATTAAATCAAGGCCATTGTTGGTAAATTGCCCCAATGGGCAACTTAGGGTGGAAGGAAAATAGTTACTGGCCCCTATATTATTATTATTATTATTATTATTATTATTATTATTTATATAGCGCCAACAAATCCCGCAACACTGTACAATCATTACCCATAAGGTGAAGCAAATGTTATTGCCCATTAGTCATAGTAAGGCCCTTATCCGGTACCATTTAGGTCATGTGGGGCTTCACATTTTTTTCATAAATTTTATTACTTCTTTCTATATGTTAATCTTTTAATGTGCCTCTCTGCTGTTAATTAGAACTCAGCCTAGTGGAGTTTCTTTGACAATTAATAGATACACATTTTTTTACAATTTTAAATTTTGTGGTGGTCAGTATCAGGTGGGGCAGATATTGGTATCTTGTAGACATTGAAGGCAGGAATGAATTTTGGAAACCTGTTGATATTTTGTGTCCACAAATAAATACCTGATGTTATTAAACAGGTTATGGTTAGAATTTACACTATTGAAAGCCTGTCCTTAGAATAGATTAGAACTGAGCAATACTTGAGGAAGACGAGACAGTCAAATCTGTCGCCTATATTACTCTGTGTCTGCTATCCCCTCCTTTAATGGGTCCAAACTTGAAGATGATTAATGGTTCATTGATGTCATAGGTTCCATCCTATTTCCTGCAGAATCCTTCTGATTAACACCCTCCCTGTAAACATAACAATTACAATATCATTCTTTAAAATTGAGATTAAGACAAGTATTTTTAGTGTCGATTTGCAATAGAAGAGATATAATAATAGCTCTCTCTCTTGACGCACTGAAACTCCATGATATTGTTACAAAAAAACAAAAAGTAAATGATTTGCATGCCTGGTAAGGTAGCTGTGATAGACCTATGGAATAAATAGAAATGCATAGAACATATATGTATATAACAGATTTATCAAGAACTATATAACCTAAATGAAAAAAGGCCACCACTCTTTCATCCTGGATAAAAGGAACACAATAGCGTTAAAATGAGCACTAACACTACAGGGAGTGCAGAATTATTAAGCAAATGAGTATTTTGACCACATCATCCTCTTTATGCATGTTGTCTTACTCCAAGCTGTATAGGCTCGAAAGCCTACTACCAATTAAGCATATTAGGTGATGTGCATCTCTGTAATGAGAAGGGGTGTGGTCTAATGACATCAACACTCTATATCAGATGTGCATAATTATTAGGCAACTTCCTTTCCTTTGGCAAAATGGATCAAAAGAAGGACTTGACAGGCTCAGAAAAGTCAAAAATAGTGAGATATCTTGCAGAGGGATGCAGCACTCTTAAATTGCAAAGCTTCTGAAGCGTGATCATCGAACAATCAAGCGTTTCATTCAAAATAGTCAACAGGGTCGCAAGAAGCATGTGGAAAAACCAAGGCGCAAAATAACTGCCCATGAACTGAGAAAAGTCAAGCGTGCAGCTGCCACGATGCCACTTGCCACCAGTTTGGCCATATTTCAGAGCTGCAACATCACTGAGTGCCCAAAAGCACAAGGTGTGCAATACTCAGAGACATGGCCAAGGTAAGAAAGGCTGAAAGACGACCACCACTGAACAAGACACACAAGCTGAAACGCCAAGACTGGGCCAAGAAATATCTCAAGACTGATTTTTCTAAGGTTTTATGGACTGATGAAATGAGAGTGAGTCTTGATGGGCCAGATGGATGGGCCCGTGGCTGGATTGGTAAAAGGCAGAGAGCTCCATTCCGACTCAGACGCCAGCAAGGTGGAGGTGGAGTACTGGTTTGGGCTGGTATCATCAAAGATGAGCTTGTGGGGCCTTTCGGGTTGAGGATGGAGTCAAGCTCAACTCCCAGTCCTACTGCCAGTTCCTGGAAGACACCTTCTTCAAGCAGTGGTACAGGAAGAAGTCTGCATCCTTCAAGAAAACATGATTTTCATGCAGGACAATGCTCCATCACACGCGTCCAAGTACTCCACAGCGTGGCTGGCAAGAAAGGGTATAAAAGAAGAAAATCTAATGACATGGCCTCCTTGTTCACCTGATCTGAACCCCATTGAGAACCTGTGGTCCATCATCAAATGTGAGATTTACAAGGAGGGGAAACAGTACACCTCTCTGAACAGTGTCTGGGAGGCTGTGGTTGCTGTTGCACGCAATGTTGATGGTGAACAGATCAAAACACTGACAGAATCCATGGATGGCAGGCTTTTGAGTGTCCTTGCAAAGAAAGGTGGCTATATTGGTCACTGATTTGTTTTTGTTTTGTTTTGAATGTCAGAAATGTATATTTGTGAATGTTGAGATGTTATATTGGTTTCACTGATAATAATAAATAATTGAAATGGGTATATATTTGTTTTTTGTTAAGTTGCCTAATAATTATGCACAGTAATAGTCACCTGCACACACAGATATCCCCCTAACATAGCTAAAACTAAAAACAAACTAAAACTACTTCCAAAAATATTCAGCTTTGATATTAATGAGTTTTTTGGGTTCATTGAGAACATGGTTGTTGTTCAATAATAAAATGAATCCTCAAAAATACAACTTGCCTAATAATTCTGCACCCCCTGTATAGTGACCCCCTACTTTTTGGGTGTTTCCCCCTTGCAGGGGTCTAAAAGATTTACTACCTTATATCCAGCGGTGGGCCAGTCAATGTGCACTCTGCCTACCTTACTCAATGATCTCAGCCAACCCAATGATTCCATGTAGCAAAATACTGCTCTGCACCAGTGAAATTATCTCAGTTGAGAGTCAGTTGAGCTACAACTGAGTGTAACCTAGTTATAGTAGAGGAAGCGCCTCTAGTGGCTGTCTTCTTGACTGCCACTAAATACGAATTAAACCTGCAATGAAACCATTCTTGTTTCTGCAAAAAAGCAATGTTTTCATTTGCTGGATTAAACAGACAGAACATGGCACCTAGACCACCTTATTGAGATGGAGTGGTCTGGGAGCTGGCAATGTCCCTTTAAAATTGGATATTATCTAGAAAGCAAAGAACTAATTATAGACTCTTTTTATAAAGTGTATAATTAGTACAACATCATCAACATACTACACTCAGATTACAGAAAGTATTCAGCAAGTTTGATATACATGCTGCAAGGTTGTTCCAAATTTTAATGGGGCCCCTTCAAGCCTTTTTTCTGATCTTCATCTCAGCACACCTTGCACAGCTTCACTCTAAGCATATCTATTTAATTTCTCTCCTCCTATTTATATCACCCACCCTTTGTGTTAGGACTCTCTGCCTAACATAAGCTTCACATTAGGCATTCTAAC